CAAAAGCAGCAGCAGCAGCAAAAGCAGCAGCAGCAGCAGCACGAGTTGCTGCTCTTACTCTCCGCTGCCCTGAGGCACTCTTGCTGCTGCTGCTGCGCTGCATCTAGCAGCTGCTGCAGCAGCAAAAAATGCTGTTGCTGCTGCTCCTGCAGCAGCAACAAACCAACACACACAAATGTTTTTTATAAAGATAATGATTAGTGCAGCTGCTGCTTCTGCTGCTGCTGCTGCTGCTGCTGTGTCTGCTGCTGCTTCTCTTCCCTCTGCTGCTGCTGCTGCTGCTGTAGATGGAACTGCCCACACAGCAGCAGCAGCAGCAGCAGCAACAGCAGCAGCAGCAGCAGCAAAGAGCTTGCCTTTGTCGCTGCATCGATTGCCTCGGCCTTCTGCTGCAGTTGCTGCAGTTGCTGCTGCAGCAGCAGCTGCTGCTGCTGCTGCTTCTTTTGAATATCCATAACTAAGACGCTGTGGGCATTGAGCTGCTGCTGCAGCAGCAGCTGCTGCTGCTGCTGTTCTGCTGCTGCTGCTGCTCCTCCTTTTATACATTCGTTGCGTTGCTGCTCCGTCTGCTGCAGCTGCTGCAGCAGCTGCTGCACTTGCTGCAGCAGCTGCTGCTGCTCTGCTGCAGCAGCAGCAACATCAGCCTGAGAAAAAAGACAAACAAAGCAAGCAGCAGCAAACAACAAAACACAAATACAATGATGATGTTGCTGCTGCTACTGTTGCTGCTGCTGCTGCTGCTGTCGCTGCTGCTGCTGCTGTTGCTGTTACTATTGTTGTTGCTGTTGCTGCTATTGCTGCTGCTGCTGTTGCTGCTGCTGCTGTTGCTGCTGCTGACCTTTAGAGCTGCAGTGAATTTTGTGCATGCTTCTGTTGCTGCTTGCTGCTGCTGCTGCTGCNGCTGCTGACCTTTAGAGCTGCAGTGAATTTTGTGCATGCTTCTGTTGCTGCTTGCTGCTGCTGCTGCTGCTGTTGCTGCTGCTGCTGCAGCAGCGCGATATCCTCAACTGCCCTTTGGAGGGAAGCAGCAGCAGCAGCTGCTGCTGCTGCATGTTGCTGCTGCTGCTGCTGCAGGGCTTCGGTCAGCTGCTGCTCTTCCTTAAGACTCTGCAGCAGCAACAACAGCAGCAGCAGCAACAGAGTAGCAGCAGCAGCAGCGAGAGCAGCAGCAGCAACAACAGCAACCGCAACAACAGCAGTACCAGCAGCAGTACCAGCCGCAACAGCAGCAACGGCAACAGCAGCAGCAACAGCAACAGCAGCAGCAGAAGCAACAGCAGCAGCAGCAGCAGCAGCAGCAGACCTTCTGGGCGAGTTGTAGAGAAGCCTGCGTTTGTTTTATTTGCTGCTGCTGCTGCTGCAGCTGCGTGTGTTGCTGCTGCATGGTTTGTTGCTGCAGTATATCTTGCTGCTGGAGTTTGTGTATATGAATTTCTAGCTGTTGTATTTTCTGCTGCTGCTGCTGCTGCTGCTGCTGCTGCTGCTGCTGCTGCTGCTTATACATATCTACAGGCAAAAACACACCATCCCGCTGCTGCTGCTGCTGCAGCAGCAAACGCAGCTGGCTGTTCTCCGTCAGCAGCTGCGACAGCACAGCGTCTCGTGATCGCCGCAGTGTAGCTACAGGCCGTGTCTGTACACTCTTTGCACG